TAGATTTGCACCAAAAACCAAAATCGATTTTGCATAAAAGTTCCCGTTTTTCCTTAATTTTTCTTTTGTTATTCACGGCGTGTTTGAAAACTACTGGAAAAATATTACTTTTGACCCCTCAAAGTAACAACTAGGTTCATTTTCCTATCAGAAAAGATACTGTTGAAGAAAATCTAAGCATTTTTACTGTCCTAAAACATGATGACAGACACAAAAATAAAAAAATTAATTAATTAATTAAAAAAACGCACATCATTGTAAAATCAATACTTTCATCGTTCCACTCAGAATCTAAAATTTGTTATTTATATTTAATTATTTTAAAAATTATTTTAACTAAAATTAATCCGAATTTAGTTTACTTTTCCGGAAGATTTAGTCTAAAAATGTATAGCCAAGTATTGAGTATTATGTAATAAATAATTCAGACCCCATTAAAATAAATAAATTTGTTTCTACTAAATTTGGATTAATTACTTATATATACATTTTACACATTAGACCATTTAATAATTAGATTCCACCTTATATCACACATTTTATAGCATTTATCTTAATGTTAGCGTTTTTTTCACAGAGTTTACTGAGTGTTTTTGTTGGGATAATACAATTATTAAAACAAAATACGTAATAGGTATCATTAAACTAGGGCTGACTATATTTTCGGTATACCGGTGATTACAGGTTTTTAAATAATAGCTATATATATCCGGTATTTTTGGTATTCTAGAATAAAGGCATTGTGAATCGGTAATTGCCATCGTTACTAAAAATAATGTATACTTTCATTTATTTTTTATTATTTTTATATAATCGTAATGAGATAATATAACATCTCTATCCTAGGTTTGAAACTTGGAAACACTAATAAATTTGCCGAGGTTATGGTATTTTCGGTAACTTCCAAAGTACGGTATTTTCGATAATTACCGAAAATACCGTACAACCAGTAATACAGCGTAGATATCGGTAGTAAACAAATATCGGATACCGGTATTAATATTTGGAATATAGATAGGTACAGATATCCTTATACACGTGGCATGTGTATTAATGTATATACTATAGGTACACCCATGATGTTTATTTCTGAATAATAATAAATAATAATAATACCTACCTAAAGTACGGCCAGAGAAAAATGAGCCTCGATTGTAGCTCCCCGGGTGACGTCTTTTCGGCAGGGCTATAGTTTTTAGATAGCCCTACTGAAAAAAAGCCACTTGGGGAAATAGAAGTGAGGCTCATTTTTATAGTACTTACTATAGTACTTATTATTATTAAATATATATTATAATAATTTTGGTTTTATTTATTTTCCGTTTCAGTTCACCTGTCCACGTATAGTAGTGAGAATAATATAATAGTACCTAAATACATGGGTTAAAGTGGAGGGGACGCAAGGGGACTCATTCCCCCTACCGCTGAAGGTGGTTAAAAAGCTTCCCCTTTAACAAGATGGGATTTTATACATTGGACATTATAAATAAAATTATATATAGAAGGCTACATGAAGGCATATAGTCCCCTCTGGAATTTTTTCCCACTTCAAGCCCTGCCTAAATAGTAATACTATTATTTAATAATAATACTATTACATTCGAATATTCGATGATTAATTAAACTAATTAGTAGACATATTATGTATTAATAGATGGGTAAGTGGATACCACTCTGCTGTACCAACAGTAGGTTTCGAGTGGGTCACCATAATGGATGTGTTAAATTTGAATTCAATGATATTATAAAACCGTTGTAAATTTAGTATATATTATCATGATCTTATTACTATTAAAGTAATTTATTTTACAATTATTTTAATACAGTATCTAGGTTTAAACGTTTAATAGGTACCTACAAAAACATTGTATTTGAATATGTCAATGTGTGTATAATATATACTTATACACTCTATACACGTCTATTACACATATATAATAATATATGTATTACTTTATATACACTTTTTAAGTTTCGAAAAGTACCCAAATATTATATTTTTAAATTATAACAAAATAACTAATATTGTTATTATTGGTTTAATATCTAATTTCGCAAAAATTGAACTTGAAGAGGACGCTACACCCGCATGTGTTGTCTCCGTCTTACACACGTACGACATAGACAAAACGCGTTTAGGCAGTCCGAGTATAACTCGCTCAATTTTGGTTCTAGAGTAAAAATGCCTATTATGAAATTGAATTGTGATAATATTTCTAAGGGCAAGACGCTGCGGTTTTTCCATTATACCCAATATAACGTTCATTATATCGTTTAGAAATAGAAAAAATTTCACCATTTTTATAATACCTTTGACTTTTAAAAAATTAAATTTTTTAAAAAACCGCAGCGTCTTGTCCTTAGAAATATTATCACAATTCAATTTCATAATAGGTGTTTTTACTCTAGAACCAAAATTGAGCGAGTTATACTCAGACTGCCTAAACGCGTTTTGTCTATGTCGTACGTGTGTAAGACGGAGACAACACATGCGGGGTGTAGCGTCCTCTTAAAATATTTATGAAAAAAATACAGTGTTTTGTATATTTTATACATTTTTTTATTACAGTATGAATTACTTATAAGAGACCTTGTTTTGTCAATCCTTATGAGCCATTAGCTATAAAAATTTTACATTACACATTTTATAATTATTGAACTACAAAATAATATGCAATGAATTTTGTCCACATTTGAAATTTAAATGATTAAATGTTTGAATATTATTACAAATTTTCATAACAACTTATTCCTGGACCTTGTATTATATTTTCAATCTGTTTGACCAAGAGAACATTTTTTATCGACATTCGTATAAATAAAACAAAAAACAATTCAACATTTCAAATGTAAATTAATATTTTTTAATTTTTAATTTTTTTAATTTTTTTGATGTAAATATGAGATAGCTCAAAAAGAGCCAAAATATTTTGAAAATGTATATTGTATGGAAAATGGGTATACAAACTTTGGTGAACATTTTAAAGTAGGTACCTACTGTTATTTTTTTTAGAATCTCTGTAAAAAATAAAATCGATTTTGTCAAGAACCAGTTTAACGTGAAAATTCTTTTTTTTCCATGTACCTATAGTCATTGGAATGAAAAAAATATAAATGTTGAACATTTCAAGAGTTTGGGCCTTGGGGTAAACAGGAAAATAATAAAAATTTTACTCAGTATAAATGAATTGATGAGGAATTATATTAGCTTTAAAGTAAGATATTAATGAAATAGAATATAGATCCTTCTTGAAAACTATTTTTAACACTTTCACTGCGTACCTATCGTTTTTGAATATAAAATGTGGTGACGCTGAAAAATTGGAGTTTTAAAAAAAAATTACATAAAAATTTAAATACCAGTGTACGATTTGGGCATGGTTATGAAATGATGTTTATAGAAAACGCTGACAAAAAAAGAAAAGTTTAATTATGAACCTGAACAAATTGTACCTAGTGTATATTTTTTTAATAATACATTATAAAACATGACGCCAATAATTGGCGTTTTCAGCATATGCAAACTATACACAATGACGATATTTGGAGAAAAGATTTTGTTGTTTAGGGTCTTATTAGATTTACATTGGCTGGGAAAAGTGAAGCGAAGAATTTTCTGAACTTTAAAGTTGTACATCATAAAACCACACACACACACACACGTGTAAATAAGAACTATGTGCCTAAGACAAAAATTCTTTTAACACTTTAAGAGGGCTTAAAAGTACGAGGTGAGTTCTATAATTCAAAAAATGTTAATATTTTAGAAACGGCCCACTAAAATGTTGTATAGGTAGGTTACTTTAAAAAATTGCGTTACAGTTCAGGAGTTGAGTGTTGACTAAAACTAAAAGTAAATCAATCAAAAAGCCACCATAGGTATATAAAAAAGAAATATATAATACAATATTATCAGTTATTATTATAACTTATGTCATATTTTATATAATAAAAAAAATTTAAAAAAATTTAAATAAAATACAATTTTTACACAACAATAAATTAAGTGAAATATAAAAAAACCAGATTCCTAAAGCATTCCAACTCTAATTAAATACAATTTATTATTCAAATTTCAAAATAAAATAATTATGAAAAACACCAAATTTATTTTATGCAGTGGTTTTTTCAATAAGTCTATTAACACTGGAAAAATGGAAAATAATCTAGGTTGTAGGTGAAGATTAATTTATATGGTCATAAATCATAATTAAAAAAAAAATTAAATCAATACGTTTTTAAACAATTCGATAATATGAATTTCAAATTTTAAATGTTCACAGCCGAGTTGGTAGGTATACAACTTCTAAAATTAAATAAAGAAATCAAAAAAATATTTTTCGCAAATGAGTAAACAGCTTGTAGTATATTTTAATTTTTAAACGTTTTTATTTACTTTCTCAAAATCAGTTTAGAAATTCTATTATTGTAAAAGTATTATTTGTTTCACATTTCAATAATCAAAAAGATTAGGTAATTGAAAGCCACAAAGTAGAAAACGAAACACTATACCTACCTATCTTAATAATTAAGATCAATAAAACTTTATCACTCAATATCGTATCTTGGATTATATACATAAATCATACTTTATTTATATATACCTGTATTTATAGAACAAGCTGAGTCATAGTGTTCTAATAAATTGTTTGGAATAATGTTCAAGTGCGTGAGTAATGTTTGTACAAAGCTAAAAGCTTCATGTAGCATTATGTTGCTTTCGAGTATGAATCTGATTTTAAATGTACATTATGTACATACTACCTACATAGCTAGATACTAATTGTTTTTTTGTTAAGCTGACAAGAGAAATCGCTTTATATGATTCATCATGTTTATGATGAATAATTAAATTACTTAGTCTACTTACCGGATACCTATACTATTTAGTCAATTAGAATTTAGTATAAATAGTTGTGAAAGATTGCAAGAATTTCATTTTACATTCTTATTGCATTGAAGTAATACGATTGAATTAAATACTTATTACAAATTACAATATGAATTTCTCGTTGAAATATCTTCACCTGCTGGTAAGTACAATTTATTTTTAATTTGTCAATTATGAATTATGATTATTTAAGTTTTATGTAATGTATGTTTATGTTTTATAATATTAAAATAGGTGGCATTCTCACTACTTTGGTGTTTTGAATCTACTATTGAAGCGAAACAAATAATTAAATCAGGCCAAAACAGTGATAAATACATCAAACAAAAGGTACCTACTATATTATTATTATAATATTTAACTATATTTTGAAAGCAAGTTAATTTTCAAAGCTGGGAAAGTTAACTAGTTTTTGTGACTAATTAAAGTTAATTTATCCCAAAAAAGTAAATAATATAAGTAATATACTTTACAATAATTAGTAATTTGATAGTTTCAATTAATTTTTACTTCTAAAATTGCGTTTATTACCTATTTTATAAATTAGTATAATAGTATATATATATATTTATATTAAATATTTTATAAATTCATTAAAATAATTTACAAATTTTCAAGATCTTGAATATTATTTTCAAAACATAAGTTAGGTATGTTATGTTGTGCTTATAAAAATAAATTATGTCCATACATTTTTGAAATTTTTTAAATGTTTTAGATACAAATAATTGAGGATCTTGTATTATGTTTATTTATGAACTAAATATAACAAAACACAACATTTATTATTTTAATTTTGGTATTTTAAAAATTCTCGTTTTTCCATAAATAATAAATTGTTGTTTTCTAATTATTTTGAATAAAAATACACAAAAATACACAAAATGAATAAGTTCATTGCTCCGCTCAGAATCTGAAATAATACTTCTTGAATAAATCCGATAGTTTTAGAACAATTAATAGTAAATTTTAGTAATTTATAGGTATGTATTTTAAATTTTAATATTCAGCACCTTTTAAATTTACTAGTTGTTATTTTACAGTCCACATATTATTTTATTGAATATATACCTACTTATACTTTTTATTTATTTATTTATATTTTTATGTTAACTTTATACAAGGACCCATCAGGTTTTGCTTCATTGTGGCCAAGACATCATAGAACTACAACACTTGATCCAAATACAACTGTACTACAAACTGAATCAACAACGTATGTTTCAAATTCGACTAGTGAACAATGGAATACGACTACTGAGGTTCCTCAATCAACAACTTTTAATTCAAATATGACTAGCGATCAATGGAATACAACTACTGTGGCTCCTCAATCAACAACATATCATTCAAATATGACTAAATATAACAAGGAACCATCAGGAGTATTTGCTCCATTTTGGCCAATACATCATAGAACTACAACACTTGACCCAAATACAACTGTACTACAAACTGAATCAACAACGTATGTTTCAAATTCGACTAGTGAACAATGGAATACGACTACTGAGGTTCCTCAATCAACAACTTTTAATTCAAATATGACTAGCGATCAATGGAATACAACTACTGTGGCTCCTCAATCAACATCATATCATTCAAATATGACTAGCGAACAATGGAATACAACTACTGCGGCTCCTCAATAAACTAGTGGACCAACTCACCATCATCATTAATTTCAAAGGGGAACATAATTAACAGAATATTATTGAGTGATATGTCTTAACAATACCTATTATAATTTACTAATAACCAGATACCGAGTTCATTTTTTTTTGTTATGTTTACAACATATATTAATCAATTAATAAATTTCTATGTAATTTTATACCATATATATTATATTCTCCATTCAGAAAAAGAACATTGCAGACTACCGTCGTGCACCGTAACTCGATACTCCTGCCAGAGGCGTAGTGTACAAGTCAAATATGAAATAATTAATTTAATGAAATTTATCAGATATTTTTAGGACTTAACTTCATGATGGTTTCTTAAACGGTAGCCTACTGCCGCACATCGTTGATGCCCACTATAATTATTAGTGATTTATTTTCGCCCTAATATGTTGCCGGCAATGCAATTGCACCGTATAAGCAGAATTTAAACTGCTTACGCAAGCCTGTTAAATTGGTGTATTCAAACCGCCATTGGAGGAGGCACATATTTGAAGCACAGTTTTAGAGGCGGAACTAAGAATTTTTACGCCCGGGGAAAATATTAAAATTAAACCCAATCATAGACCAAGATTGAAAATAAATATCAATCCCTACAATTGTTTTATCATAACTGGAACTTAAATTACAAACATACTTATTGACTTTTAAACACATAATAATATATAATAATTAGTATATTCTGTGGACTGTGGTGTAACCAAGTTTATACTAATAAATTATCATACCAAAAACACTTTAAATTTAAAAACTTAGTCAACATATTGTTGATACATTTTTAATTACTGGAAATACTGTATTGGTTACTTAATTGTATTTATTATTAGAAATAATAATAATATTAGTTATATATAAATGTTGAAAAATAATCAAAACTTTAATTACCTACCTATCCTGTATAAAAATTGTAAACACTTTTGCTGTTTTAGTTCTATGCGCCTCAGCCTTCAATTATAATAGATTTTTATGGTAAAATATAAAATCTTTTATTCTGATTAGGGTACACAATTTAGGCCAGTAAAAAATTGTATTTAATTAAACAATTTATAATAGAAAAAATGAAAAAGTGAATATTTAAAATCAAATCTTTTTTTTAAACCTAAACAAATGTATAACTATCTTGGTAAATATTATAATATATAATATTATAAACTATAATACATTAACATGATTTTTAATATACAGATACCTATTATAATATATGTATCGTACGTTGATTGATACTCTTATAACAGTTATTGTGTAGGTATCAGAAATTTTAACGAAAACACAGCATCAATAAATGCCTAGGTATAGTTACTAGTTACATTTTCACTCAGAATCTTAATAATTATAATATATTAGTTGTATATGCTTGCAGTAGGTATGCTAATGCAGTATTGCCAGTATACCAGTATATACTTAGTATACTAATACGAATCTATTCATAATCTTACCATTAACTTTATTTTTATTTTTTTCATTAATTCCAACGTCATCACTACAACATCATAAACAAATAATGTGAAATAAAAATGTTTTCTTAACTTCTATCACCAAGCATTAAATAAAGAACTAAAGAAAAATTACGCCCACTAAAATTTTACGCCCGGGAATCAATCCCCGGCTTGAGATGAGGGTCGTTCTCCGACAAACATAAATTTGATAACAGGATATAACCTCAAATATTCTCCATTACCAACATAATTTTTATTAAATTAGCGTTAGGGAAATTTTGTATTAAAAAGTAAACGAATTGGTAATCTGAATCGTCGAAACTTAAAAGCTCATTTTTAAGAATAAAACCGCTTAAAAAGAAAATCTTTGAAATTAAGGCCATCTAAATCCAACAATATTATAATGCTCTATTGTTTTTACTTCTGTCATTATTGTAGACTCTACAAACTTAAATTTTGTATTAGATATATCTTTATTATAAATAAAATGTAAATACCATGGCTAAATACATTTACTACATTTATAATATGAATAAAATGTAAATACCATGGCTCAATGCATTCATAATATAAATAAAATTTAAATACATAATATATTATTATTTATTATTTTTGTTTGTGTATTAATGAACATCAGATGAGAAAACCACAGGGCTGGAAGTTGTTTAATATAATATTATTATATTTTATTATAAAATGTAGTTGTTCATCCAATTCTTCATTGAAATGCCACCATTTAAGTCTATCTGGTCTTTATTAATGTTTGTAATATTCTTTTAAATTTATTTTACTATTATTTATAGAACTATAATAATTGTTGAACCAACTAAATTTGATTGCATTTGTTTACAGTTATGCATTTATACTTCAGTAGTTTAAAATATAAAGTGTATGATTGTATTTGTTTAATTAATATAAAACGTTTAAATAATTATCTTCATCAAAAATATTTTTTTAGAACCAACCTATACTTAATAATGGGATTTTTTAAATTTGCAAATCAACATTTTTATATAAATAAGTGATTCAAAATTTAATTTTAATATTAACAATTATTTTTGAAAAATAGGAATATATTTATATAGCTTACCTTGTTTACTCTTTATTTTAGTTTATTAAATTAGTTTAATATGTATTTTGTGTTTAATACGTATGGATAGGTAGACGCCTAACAATACACCGCGATTGTATACAAATAAAAATAAAATAATAATTAAAAAAAGGTAAAAACAGTAATAGACAGTAACAACAAAATAGAACTTACTAAGAGAAGCTTAGGTGCTCATTACAAATGAGTCCAAGTTTATTAAATAAGTAGATCATATTGTAACGTGAACATTTAAAAAAAATCACCCTATACAATGTTACAAACATAGGTGTAAGTCCAAATGTAGTCAATAAAATCTGATCAGGAAGAATGGATTACCTCGTTAACGACAAGATAAGATGTATAGGATGTAAAAATATATAAAATCAATTTATGTCAAGATAATATGGAGTTATTTTTGTTTAATTTATGACATTTTACTTATCTACAAAATACCATGTTAGTTTTCTTTTATTTATTATACTTCACTGCGGGAAATTTACAGAACAGTTTTATAAAACACTTTCAGTCTTATTATACATCAACTCTAGTATTGTGGTTTATATTTTGTTTGGTTAACTCTCTAAACTTTCAGTTATACATATATCTGGGTTTTTTTTCAATACTATTATTCAATATGAATCATTTACATGACCATAATTATGTTTTACTTCTTCCCAATCTTCCAGAAGAAATTATTGTAGATGTGGATGTGGATGTAGATGTAGATGAAGAAGTTAACAGTAAGTACTAAATTATATACATATATTTATATAAAGGTAAATATTACTTACATATAGCAATAGCCATAAATTAAATGTTAATTATAATTATTATTTTATTTACAGTTCAAGAACATGCGACAACATACACAATAATTCCTGGTGTTAGACTTAAGTCACAAATATTTGTGGACAATTTAAACTACAGGTATTATAAAAGTAGAAGTCGAAATAACAAAATGCGAGCAAAATGTGAGTAGAAATAATATTATTATTATTTTAGGATTTGGTTTGTTTAGCTAGCTAGTAAAATCTTAATTTATAACTTATTTAGATACCTAGTGAGCGAAAATCAAAAAAATCAAACAGCATTTTGTCCTGTCACTGCGTATGTGAATACAAATATAAATGACAATGCAATAACAGTATAAGGATTGCACTACCATGCACCTAGGTTAGTTTATGTTCCTATGGTTCATTTAAGAAGAGCTATTGGTATAACTGGAACAAAACCTGGAAATATGTCCACTTCGGTTAGAGAAATTTATAACAGAGAAATAGTTGAGTAAGTAAGAGAAGATCAATAACCTAACCTAAGACCAATACAAAAGTAATATAATAGTAATAAAAAAAAATATGCATAACTATTTTAACTACCCTAACCTAATCTAACTATACACCTATACTACTTAATATACTAAAAACTATACGAGTAAGTAAGTACGATAAGTAAGAATATTTCATTACTGCCTTAGAAATCCAGAAGGTGCAACAAACTACACCTATTTACAATCACAAATGTGTGTAAAAAAAATGAGTCGGCGCCGTCATCCCAACAGTCCAACAGTTCAACAGTCGAAGAACTGATTGATACCTTAAGCCAGCATCAAAACTCAGCATATGGAACAACAATGCAGAATCCGTCTTCAAAGTAAAATTTCACATTTATTAAAAATTATAAAATTATAAAATAAAATATTTAAATATATTTTTATTTAGTTTTTTTCAACAACATTTACCGTTTATGGTAGAAGGCGAACGGGTTGGCGTCATATTCTCAAATTTAGATGCGATTCAAAAATATAGAGAAGAACTGCTAACTGTAACCTTTGCAGAAATTGACGGCACATTTAAAACGGTACCAAAAAGTTCACCACAGCTAACCAAAGGCTGTTTATTAACATTTCAAGTGGTTCTAAAAAATGTAGTAAGTATAATTAGTAAATTAATAAATATAGCTTCTCAAGTACCTATATACCTATTGACTGTATTTTCTATTTAAGTCTTTTCCGATGGTTTATGCGCTGACTTCCCGAATGACTCAAGCTACATACGAGTCATTCTTGAGGATTGTTCGTGAGGTTTTGCCATTGAATTATGCCCAGTTAACAATCATATCTGATTATGAAAGGGGGTTAATAAATGCAGTAGAATCAACCTTTCCTGAAAGCAGATTTCAAGGTTGTTGGTTCCATTACTGTCAAGTAAGTAATGTAAAGTATTAAGGTACTTAAGTATTTTATATCAATCAAGTTATTTCTTATTAGGAATAGTTAATATAATGTACATAATTTAATTAATATTCTTTAGGCTATTGTAAGGTATTGTAGAAGAAGTCTAAATAGTATTTACCATTTATTCCAATCGAATCCTGAGGCAGCTACAATATTGCGCATGGTAATTTAGTCTGAAATTAATAAGAATAAAATATTAATATCTTATACTGTTTTACAAAAATGTCTGTTATAGATCTTAGCTTTACCACATTTACCTGCTCAAGTACATCCCAATTGTACATTTACAATACATGATGGATTTTGGGTAATTGTTGAATTTGCCAATCAATATCCGAATATTTATCAACAGATGGAAGTATTTCTGAATGGTTATATTCAAGAATTTTGGCTTACACAAATTGGCGCTGCCTCTATAAGCGTCTATGGGTATGAGAATTATATAAAAAAACATTTTTTTACTAGGTACCTAATAGTAATATACCTAACCTAATAGTTTTAAAATGTATAATATACTTTTTAGTTCAGATATACGCACCAACAATTACCTAGAGTCATTTCATGCTATGTTACTCAATCAAATGGGAAAACATCCAAATATTTGGGATTTTTTGCGTAAGCTCAATTTTATAAAATATTTGTTATTAATAAGCAATTAATTATTTTATTCTTTTTATTTTGGAACTTTCAGCTAATAACTATTACAGTTTATTTTATTTTTATTCTAGAAAAATTGTTGTTGATTGAAAATCAATTTTACCTTGAGATGGACCAAGTTCGAAGAAATCTAACAGTAGATTAATGAATTTATTTTATTTTAAATTTATGTACTCTTATATTGTAATTACTCATTTATACTGTTGTTTTTAAATGTTTAGGTAAGAAATCATACATCTAGAGTACAACGGTCAGATGCTACTCGGAGGGTTAGAGAGTATATTGATACTCTCAATGACGATGGGAATCTCTTAATGTTTCTCCAAAGAGCCGGCCATATGATGGATGGGTATCTGCATGGACAAGTTGGCCCACAGCCATGATAACCTGAGAAAATATTTTATTTGAAATTTTATTATTATTTTTAAACAATTTTTATACTTTTAACAACTTTTTTTATGACAGATTTAATTATTGACAAATTATATATTTAATTTTTTACATTTATTGACAAATTCAATTAGTAGTGAATAGTGATGAATGTATTGATTTTACAATGACTATTTTTTTATAGGTATTGTGTTTTATTATATTTATTATATAATTATATACAAATACAATAAATATAATAGGCGATGAATGTATTGGTTTTACAATGATTATGTGTGTTTTATAGTTCTATTATATTTATATATTATGATTTATGACATTGTATGTTTTATAATTTTTTTTAATAAATATAATTTTAATAATGTTCATAATAATGGTTTTAATGCCTTACCTTAGAAAAGAAAAAACAACTTCAGAAGCTTCAAACCATGACAAAATATATATCTTGTCATGCTTCAAACAGTTAAAACTAAAACGTGTACTAAAACTAGTAAAACTTTCAACTTCAAATTATGTAGATTAGGATCAGACATCTATAGTATCTATAGTAAAATAACGATTTGACTTTTTTTCATGGTTGGTCACTCTGACTGTCGGAGAAAAAATTGGTTGTTATCATTTGTCGGAGAACGGCCCTAGTTCCCCCCTAGTTCCGCCACTAGTGACAGTTTACAAGCATTTTTCATAATGCATAGGTACATGATACTGAATAATGTTTACTTCGCTATAGAACAATCGAATGCAAATGTGACGTGTGTATCTCTACGTTAATATTAAAAACCTATTATAAAAAAATGGGCTCTTCAAGGAATGACGATTGTAATTGCAATGATAGAATAATTACTACTAAAACTGTCTGGATCAGATAGGTAGCAATAATAGCATAATGATGTAATTGACTATTTAACTTAAAAAAACAAGAAGAATCGATTTGTTATATAGATAAAATGTTTTTATTAATTATGTGTTTTTTTTTTAATAACATTTTTAAATTCATATTACTAATACTATTTTGAGTACCTATAATTGGTGTGGACGTGTGGTGTTGGGGGTTTCGTGAGGGGGAGGCTAAGTTAGGTATGTTGTATGTACCACTGCTTACACTCACTAGGAGCAGCACGTTTTGGTACATAGCATTGTTTTTCCCTTTTAAATGAGAACATAATATTTGGGTAGGTACATGAACACATAACACATTAACACGTTTAGGTGCATCCGCTAAATTTCCCATCTCGATAGATTATCGCGAAAAAAAGAGGATTAACTATCTTTATAGTAGGTACCTACTACCTTCCATCTTTAAGATATGGTTTATGAAACTAACTAAATGTTTCAACATTTCAACGTTCAGTTCCGATTTGGATTTATAATCGGCAATATCTTTTTAAGATTATTTTATTATTTGTAATTATGGACGTGGACATTTCCCATGTTTTTTTTGTATCATTTAATAAATTAAAATATGTCAGCATATTACAAGTTTGAAACAATAATAAAATTGTATTAAATAAAATGTTGCGTTAGTTGTGCTGAGTCGTAGTTGGTTAGGTATAGATAGTTTTAAATAATATAATGAAAAAAGGAAAAGAGATAAGATGATATCCCTATTATTAAATAGATGATAGCTGTACATAATAGTGTGTACATTTTAATTATAATGGTCGATAAGACTGATGAGAGACGGGGACTAATTTTACTAGTGAGTGTAAATTTGATATACAATTTGAGTGAATGTCGGCGATTTTGTATTCCGTGGGTGAGTTTTGATTTTTGGAATCTAGCTTCCGCATAAGATTTGGTCTTAGAGTGGGCGTGGGAATCAGAGCCCTTGGACTCTTCGGACTGTTTTTTGAAAGCATCTTTGTAAACTGGACATATCTAATATTATATTATTATACTTATAACTTGTTAAGATGACTTATACTAGAATTAATTCAATTAAATAACCTCGAATAGGATGTTTGGTAGTTTCAGTTGATCCCTAACTTCTTAAATTAAGCAATTTATAGAAATCCCATAGAACAGACCATATGAGTAGGTTTTCCTGATTCAATTTGACTTCTTTATAATTATTTATGGTCATGTATTTTTTATGTAATCAAGATGATTAAGGGGCCTGGTCGCGATTTTTCAAATTTTCCGCAATTCTATAAAATTTGAAAATTAAATTTTATATTTTAGTTGCCACCTCAATTATAAGACTTTTCCACTAATCTACTACCCAATACCTATTTAGAGGGGTTGATAGGGTGTATTATATCGGTCAAAACACAGTTTACAGGAAAAACTCTCACCCCTCGTGGATTGGTCCGATTTTCGTAATTTTTTTTTGTTAGATAGAGGAATATTTTTACTGGGCGCATTGGACTTCGATTTTTGATTACATCCCTAAAAACAAAAAATAATACAAAAACTAAAAAGTTGTAAAAATTGATTAAATTCAAACTTGTAACATAAGACTTAGAAAAAATAATTTTGAAAATCCAAGTCCAATGCGCCCTGTAAGAAGTCTTCCTCTATCTAACAAAAAAAAAATTACGGAAATCGGACCAATCTACGAGGTGTGAGAGTTTTTCCTGTAAGGCATGTTTTTGAGCAAAAAAACAGGTCGCGTGCAGGCCCCTTAAAGCCAGGTCAAAATATTATTTACTTATCCTTATCATTGTTGTAATTGCACATCGATTTTGAAAACCAGTTTTATTTACAAATTAAATGTTTTAGTATATTTAATTTATATATTACATTTATTATTCAATTATTTATGTAAAACATTGAGTCATTAATAATAATTTTTAATTTTAAAATTATTATTAAATCATAAAAGTTAATTTTTTAAACAAGTAAGTAAATATGAATCACCTCAATTATTAACAATTTAAATAATATTTATTATTTATTTTATATATAAGCTTAAGGTCTTTTATTGATTTTACTTTTCTTGAAAGCATAATGACATATTTATTGGACTAAATTTTCACGGTATTGCCAATAGTAAAATAATTACAATTTATTGTATAAGAAAAATGATTCTGAGAGAAAACGGTCAGTCAGCCTATGATATTAGTATATTAACTATATTTAACGATATTATCGTGTATAAAGTAATTAATATATTTACTTATTTAAGTAGTACCTTGTTTTAAATTTTCAATCCATAGCTATGAAAGTTGAACATCTTATACATTTTTAATTACAAAATAATTATTAAATTTTATATTTGATAAATTTTGAAAAATTCGAACTTTGAATGCTTATAAAAAAAAATTTAAAAATTACAATGTCCGTAAACAGGTCAATTGTATGGTGTATAGAAAAGGCTAATATAAACATTCAATGAAATTTTCAAGTATATACAGTCAATCGTTTTTTAATTACAACAAAATAAGGAAATCGTTACATGAGAAATCGAGTGAATATCAAATGTTGTAAAAATATGAATTCAAACGCTCATAAAAATTTAATTTTTCTATCTTGTGGACATTTTTTTTTTTGACAAAGGTAGACAAATTTATCAAGAATCTTGTATTAAATTGTCAAAACTTAGATTTAAAAAGAAAAATTTTTATGAATTTTTAAATCAAAATAATTTGCAAATTTTCGTCATTTTTACGTATTTTGTCAATATTTGAACAAATGCTTATAAAAAGAAATTGTGACTATGTATTTTTATATTTTTCAACTGCTATTATAACAATATATCAGGAGCTTTGCATTAAAATTCCCAATAATAGTTAGGGAAAAACAGCATATAATTTAAGGAAAACTGGAATTTTTACGCAAAATCGATTTCGGCTTTTGGTGTACCTAACTCTAAAAAAAATTATCGTAAATACATGAAATTTTCACTGGTTGTTTATATTTGCATTGTCTATACACGATAATTTGTTTTGAACTGTTTAGGGACATTTTCATTTTCCATTTTTTTTTTAGTTTTTATTCTAAAAATATCAACAAAATTTTATTTGTTGGTTTCGAAAGCTTGAAAATTTAATAGAAGGCTCCTAGTATATTGTTTCAAAGGCAGATGAAAAATATTAAAAATCCTTAGTCACAATTTTTTTTTATAAGCATTTAAAGTTCAAAAATTGACAAAATATGGAAAAATCACGAAAATTAGCAAATTATTTTGAGTTAAGAATTCGTAAAAATTTTTCTTTTTAAATCTAAGATTGGAAAATGTAATACAAGATTACTCATAAGTTTGTCTACCTTTATCAATAAAAAAATTTCTATCGGAAAGTCAATTTAAATTTTTATGAGCGTTTAAAATTCAAAATTTTACAACATTGTATATTCACTCGATTTCTCATGTAGTAATTTCCTTATTATGTTATATTTTTGTATTTTTCTTTATTTAACAGAATTTTTTTTTAGATTTTAATTGAATAAACATCGGTTTGATGAAAATACAATAAAAAAAAATAAAAAAATAAATAAAACATTTGTTCAAAAAAGTCGATAAAAAAGTACGAAGTTATTTATAAAAAATCAATTTTTTTTTATTGATTTTGTATTTTTTTTTACATATTAGATTCTGAGTGAAACGATTTTTTTTTTTTTAATTTTATTTATGTCTGTTTACACGATAAGTAGTCGAAATAATGCTTCGATTTTCAACTTCAGTATCTTTTTCGATGGAAAAGAGAATATAAAATTCCCAATAGTTTTCACAAGCGCAGGGAAAAACAACATAAAAATTAAGGATAAACGGGAATTATAACGCAAAATCGGTTTTCCAAGAAATCGATTTTGGATTTTGGTTAACTCTAATACAAATGAACGAAATTTGGGAGGCAGATGAAAAATATTAAAAATCCTTAGTTACAGTTTTTTTTATAGGCATTTAATTTCAAAATTTGACAACATATGGAAAAATCACGAAAATGAGTTAATAACCCGTAAAAATTTTTCTTTAGATTACCTACCTTTGTCAACAAAAAAATCTCTACTGGAAAGTCAAATTAAATGTTTATGAACTTTTGAAATTCAAATT